TGTAATACTAATGTCTTTCTGGAATCTACTTCTCAGATTCCAGTACTTTGATTTCTGGTCCAGTCATTTTGCACTGTGTTTTTCATTTTAACACTGGAGTATTTGTTCAGGTCCGTAGATTTTGCATTTTTAATCTTCCTTAGAACAGTGGTGAATAATGGCCCTTGGCAGGAGATAATGAAATTTTCTTAATTTATATTTTCAAGCAGAAGCTTCAATTGAAAGTGGCATCCTATAGCCTGGAGACATAGCTCTAGTGCAAGTTTCAGGGGAGCTGTAATAATAATGCAGTGCCGGCGGTGACGGGGAATGATAGGACAGTGAAGAAGTAATTTAAGAAAGAAAAGAGAATGTACCAAAGCTTTATTGTAGCATATCTAATGATCTGCTGAAGATTCCAAATAGTTTTTGGAGCATGACAGGAGAAACTAATGTTATCTTGCCAAAACAGAAGCCCCTGCTTAATCAGCAGAACAAGATTATTGATTAAAACACCTCACACAATAGATTGCACATGGAATCTCATCTCCATACATTGCACGTGGAAAAGTGCAATAATGAGCGTAAGATAATAAAAAAAGAGCAAAAGCAATTTGTTGGGAGTTGTACAAGTCAAGATTAGAGTTGAAATGCAAACAAATTATCATGGAAAGTACAGCTGTCCTTAAAGCTGAGCACAGAAGGGGATGGACGCAGCCGGGACATGGCTACATCATGAGCAGAAGATACTTGCTAACAGCCCTACTGGAGCTGCTTTACCTTCCTTTTTTCCCGTATTCATCTGGAATGTGAAAGGGCCATTCCTCATTTACACAGTCGTCTTCCTGAGGTGAAAAGAGTTCAGACATTGTACTGTAACTGTTAATTAAACACTCCATTTGATTTTTAGATTACTCTAAGTGATGCATCTGCATTATGAAAATGTAACCTTTCTTCATTCATACTGAAATACTGAAATGGGTGTTAGAGTACACAATTGCTCCTTGCATTCATGAGAATAGGGGTACTTCCTACATTTCCCCTTGCAAAACTTTTGCTGCTGCTAGCACAGGAACCTGAATTATCATTCTTTCACTGCTACAGTTAGTCTTTTCCTCACTAGGATTTCAGATTTAGTTCATATATTACCTTTCCTCAACCAACTGTTACTGAGTTTGTATAGAGGTCTGGTTTATTTTCTTGTAAATGACAGAGTCACTGTATCATAAATCTTTGTTAATATTGTGAATGTCTTAAGCGTGAAGACATTTCTTGGTGTGAGATCATGTGAATTTTAAGATTGTACATAAAAACCTGAGAATTTGCGTATTTTAACATATGTGAGGGAAGTATGCAGTTAAGTAGATTACAGAACGCTTAAATGGTACTTAAAACCTACAGAAAACTTAAACACTAGATTACAGACACTGAAACACTAAAGTATTTGTGATTTGACTTCTTAAATTTGCAGAAGTTGGAGCTGGTTTGTATCATGCCTTCGTTGGAACAAATCTAAGAGTTTGAATAGGTGGACTGAACAGTACGTTGTGTAGAAAAAATATAGTTGGTTAAAATGAATGAGGGACTTCAAGTTGTTTGCCAGTTAAGCTTTTTGAGGTTTGGATTTTTATTTTTTTCCTGATGGTGTCTAGGCCAATTTTGCAAATCACCAGGAACTTTATTTGCACTATAGCCTTGTTTTGGAGAATCCGATGAAAATGGGTCACAGGATTGAGTTGAAGGCTGTAACGATGTAATACCCTCTTCTTTGGGCATAGTGTTTCTAAGTGTAAAGCAGGCTCTGCTATGGTAGTGATGCCGTAGCTTTGATAATCTGTAACCATGGAGGGTAATCTGCTGTTTAGTGTTATTTCATGGACCGCGAAGTATCTTTTGGAGTATCTGTCTGGTTTTACAGGGGAAAAAAAAGCAATGCACCGGACAGAAGACTTTCATTTGTCCAGAGAACAAATAGCAGTAGTGTAACTTTCCTGAATGACTTGGCTCAGAACTACCTCTACAAAGTCCACTTACTCTTCATCTCTTCTCTGTAACCCAGGAATTGGGATTGACAGCTGCTGTAGTTGCTTGGGTTTTTTTGAAGTTTTTACAGGAACGGAAATGTGACCGCTAACTACATAACGAATAGTTACCTGAATGTTGAGTTTTAAAACTGTGAATATCTTAATCAAGTGTCTTTAATTTGAAATCTTAGAAGTGCATGAAAATGAGAACCTGATATGAAAATTACTCAGGTTTTATAAAATGCAACGAGCAATGCAGCAAAATCAGTGATTTGAATGTAAAACACTACAACTTAAAGCACAAATCCCTTTAATAATTTAATTATCCACTTCCTGGGGAGGTGATGATGTGCTTTGTAGCACTGCTGTGTACTGCAGCAGTGGGTGTAGCTCATTGTTTTGGAATTGGAGTCTCCTTCATTTTGTCCAAAGATGAGCAAAAGGTGACCATATGCACAGCAGGTGAAACCTTGCATGAAGAAATAATCAAAAGTTTTTAGAAGGTCAACAACTTCCTGTGAAGACCACTCAATGCCTGAAGTTTGACACTGGCACTTACTGTGTGAAGAAAAAAATACTGCATTTTCTTCTGAATTATTATTATGCATCCTTTCGATACAAGCTAGCATGAAGCTCTTCTCAGATTCCTGGCTGACGGCAACATTTTGTGTCTTTCACTGAGGGACTATAAAAGAGAAAAAACCAACTTTTTGTAGGAAAACATGAGTCCCATCTTTTTTATAAGATTTACAAATACTGCTAGTAGAACTTTTTTTCCCACAGCTAAATATGACCTTCATCAGTTTCACTCTCAAGCAATTTCTCCCAATATGTATCCATTTTATTTTGTAACAAATCAATATTTCTCTCTTAATTGCCACTCATTCAAGTGTAAAATGAAATTTTCATACAGCTCAAAGCTGTGGAAACCATTATACTTAATGATGCACTACACCAAGTCTTTTTGTAAGAATTATTTTGATTTTGACATAAGGTTTTCACTAAAGAGACAGAAAAAAGTTTAAAAAAATTAATTACAAAATCTTACATCCGAGATTTTCTCGTGATGGTTAGTCTGGCCTGAAGTTGTGGGGCATAAAAAACCCCATACAGGCGTTAGAACAGAGAAACCTATGAGGTTTTGGGCTGTATTGCCTTCTCCTGCTTCTACAGCTTTCTCCTACACAAAGTACACGAGAGCAGCACTTTAACCTTTGTGTGAGTACAAAAAAGTGGCTGTATTGTACATTTGCAGTATTACAGATTCAGTACGGTGATTTTCTCTGCCAGTTGAGTGCAATTTCATCACTTCAGCATGGATCTGAAAGCCGTTGGATACGTCATACTTGTTCCAGACTCTCTAATATAGTGCACGAGCTGTTGCACTGAATAATAGTGCTGTTGGGAGTGGTGCGACGTTACTGGTGCTATAGCTGTACAGGGGACCTGCCTGTGCTCTCTGGAAAGTCACTGCCACAAGCAGCACAGAGATGACAGGTGAATTCCTCACCGTTTGTCTGTATCCGTGGTTGTGCATATACACAGAAATCTTGGCTATTTACAATGAGTTCTTCAATTAAGAGCCTTATGAGGCTAGAAATAGGTAGCTTAAAAAAAAAAGAAAAAAGAAAAAAGAAACAAAGAATTAACTGATAGTCAGAAGAGTTTTTGTTCCCAAGTTTGCTGAGCAAGAGGCACAGCATGTCCTAACCAGCTCTGTGCTGGTTTGATGAGTATATAAAAAGGAAAGTGATTTATGTCAGAGTTCTTCAAATGTGCTTGCTCTACCTTTTATGAGGTAGCGTGAATTATTCTTGTACCTGTTGGCAATGGACAGCTGTGGAAAGCCATAGATACAAGATAGGTTATTTTAGCTTTGGATGTCGTATTCAAGGAGTGTTGAAAGCAGTAGGGCAGTAGAGAAGTTGATGTACAGCTGGAGTCAAAGGCTAGACTATTACTTAAGTTCAGACTTCTGTTATTCAGTTTGCTGACAAACAAAACTAACCCCTGAGAAGATCAACCAAGCTCTTTTTCTTTCAGTCACCAGACTCCCTGACCTTCTGTTTTCTTTCTTCCACTTCCTTCTGACTATTTTTTCTGTTTTATATTTTGACCATTTCTTCAGGATTAGGTGATCATTTTTCCACTTTTAACTTCTGAGATATTTTTTTTTCCCCTGGAAAAAGGAATAATAGTCTAAAATCTCTTTTTTATTATTATTATTTTAAAAAAACTTCAATAAGCACTAAATTCAGTAGACTTTCATGGTTAGAGGCATTGTAATAAAGTTTTTTGTATCAAAATGCATTGGCTTCCGTTGTTAAGCAAAACATATATATGTTTCAGTATTTAGTCTCCTCTAAAATACTTTTTAATTATTTTTCTTGCAGTTCTTCTTTTTAACTGTTTTTCTTATTTCCTCAGACGGTCATTCTTTACCTCTTCCTGTAACCTAACAGAGGAAGCTTAAAGTCCACCAATTGTTCCTAAAATAATGAAAATGGAAATGCTAATGCTCTTTGTCTACAATAACTCTTCCAACCAAAATAATTTCCTTGAATCACAACAAAAATCTGAGATGTAAAACCATTCAGCAGTATGTGTATCTCTAAAGATGGAAGGAATTGCTCATTTGTGTTATTCTACATTATCAAAATTTACACTTTTTTTCATTTTGTATCATCTTTGCATTTTACTTTGATGTTATTGAATAGTAGTATCAAATCAGTATATGTTTGGGAGAGCTGTCTCTACCAGTGCAAACGAGTGACATTTGAGATAATGTATAAAGTATATTCAGTATAAAGCCTGAACTGAAATATTGTCTTGAAGCCTTATTTATGGACTTTAATCTAGTATTAATTGACTTTGTTGTCTTATGGATTGGACTGCCCAAGTGTGAAGAGAGTTAGCACTGCATATAGTAGTTTAGCATGAACTTGCAAATGAAAAGTAATTTTAAATTAATTAGCTTCCTTTCTTTTCCCGTTACAGGTGCAACAACCGAACACAGTGTATAGTAGTTACTGGGTCAGATGTGTTTCCTGATCCTTGTCCTGGAACATACAAATATCTAGAAGTTCAGTATGAATGTGTTCCTTACAGTAAGTATAATCTTTTTATTCTTGCTCACTTCCTCTCGCCCTCACAATTAAAGCTGGAGTGCTGTTACATGGAAAAGAAGCATATGTTTATGGCCCACGGACCCATTATGCATGCAGAGCACTTGCAGACTAGGGCCTCCAATTAGCTTCACGAAGTGTGGAAGGAAGCCATGGTGTGATGCTGGCCAAGTGTCTGTCTGTGTTCTTAAGTGTTTGGCTTTTAAGGCTACTGTTTTTCCAGAAAACAAACTCAAATTAGCTATTCAGTAGGCCAGATAGAAATTTGTACTTTTGCCCGCTACCAGTTGCTGACAAATTGGCTTGGCTCACAGACTTCTAAAGCAGGAATTGACTTCAATTCTAATCATGATCCACTTGAAAGGCTACCTGCTGTTGTGGTGACTTGAGGTGCACAGCAAAACTGAACACTGACACTCGGAGGCAAATATCCCAGTTGGGGGACATTGTAGGAGGATTTTGTGCTTCAGGGGCACATTGTAAGTGAACGCAGATTCAGAGTGAATAATTAAATCACTAAGTTACTCAAACTTGGTTCTTAAAAGCGATGGGGAAAAGAGTGAGAAAGAAATATGAATTGTGCCTTGAATCAACTGCCAAAACAGAATTTTTCACTGAAAACAAAGTAAATGCTGAAATCATATTGAGACAGAAAAATTTGAAGTTATGGCTACTTCAGCAGTTTTGTACAATATTCTTTCTAATGCCAGAATTCAGTAGCTCTAGACATACTTCTTATTTCATTGCAATAATTAATGCTTTTTTTCATTCACATGTATGCATGTTTATAAAAGTTCTGCAGATTTGACACTTTTAACTGGTTTTGCTTTCTTGTAAGGTCATTCTTTGCAGTGACTTCTCCCTCGTCCCGTAACTCAACAGAGAAATAGCTGTGTTTGCAGTGGAATTTGAGCAGTGCACTGATCATTCCCTTAAGTTATTATTAAGTGTGAATTTCTTGATCTGCAGTAACCCTTAACCAAAGTCACATTTTCTGTTGGAACAGGAAACAGGCCAAGTCTGAGATGCAAAAACACTGTGGTGACAGTATATATCCAAAAAGGAAGGAAATGAGTTCTGGCATAAGCAAAGCTATGTCCATACTGTTTCCTGCACAATTTTAAAATAAGACTTCTTCAACCCAAATACTGCTCTGTACTGCTTCACCACATTGAACCTTCACTGTTGTTAAAGGCCAAACACAGATCATCTGTTTTTTCTTCATTTCTGCTGTGTCATTGTTAAATGGTTGCTTGCTGATTTTTTTTCCTGTACCATTTGTAGGGTTGGAAGCCTACTGCATACAGTGATCCCTAGTACCATTCCTCCTGTGTGTAGTATCGGTGGCTTGTTGTAACTGTTCTTCTCGTGCCACTTTTGAGGAGTGATGTCTTACCCCAATCTAACCAAAGTTTTGTTCCACAAAGATGACTTTTACTTTAGCGCTATTTTCGTTCCCAAATTCTCAGAAAGAGGGCAGTGCATCTGATTCCAAACCATGAGGTCAGTCAAATGACAAGAGGTTACATTTCCAGTTCCAGTAGGCTAGCTCATAGAGAAAACGTGTAATGCAAATAATGTTCAAACATAATTTTTTATGCTGTTTTAGGAAGAGAAGTGTGGATATGTTCTACCGATTGGGTATTGCTATCTACAGGAATCTTTTCTTTTCCAGTTTTCAGAAGTATAGTGCCACAGCACGGCCTACCCTGTACTCTAACGTGTAGTTATTCTACTTTTAAAATGTTTGGTTTTGTTTACTGTCAATTGCATTAGCCTACCCTTTGAATTATGTAATTCTCTGTCTATCATAACGCAGGATTCTGGGTACTTCTTGTCTTTCAAAGTCTAAGTTTTGGAGTTCGTCAACTGCAGCATGTACAGTGATGACACAATGCCCAGTTCCAGAACTGTAAGAGGCATCACCTGTCATTACCAGCAGTCATCAAAAAGGCTACCACTTACTAAAATAAATTTTGAAGTTTGATTTCAAACCACATTGTGCTTCAGTAGCTATTTTGATTGTTGACCATCTTTCTTCCTTGTCCCACAAAGCCTGGTATTTTTCCAAGTCTCATTTTTTGACGCCTGATAGACTCCAGTTACCAAGTCTAATTTTTTTCTCTCTTACTTTTTCCAGTGCTCCACATCTAAACGTATGGAATGACTGAAATCATTAGGTTTGCAAGTAGCAGCTGTAACAGCATAGGAGACTTGTTAGGAAGGTGGGATAGGCTTCTGTGGGTCTAGGAAGAGTGGTTTTTAGTGATCACAGCACTTCTAACCAAAGTTTGGTTATGATTCTTACTTTTTCTGAACTTCATCTTCAGTTACTGCAAGACTACAAAATTTGCTGTGTCTCACTGTGGCGCATTTCAATCCATGAGACATTACAAATAGTGATCATACCAGGTTTTGTGGTAAAAGTTGAGAATTCTTACACGTGGGAGTTGGTGTCACCCTTGTACAAAATGCAGTTTATGAGCTCCTCTGTCTTGCTGGCCTCTAGCAATACATAGGTGCTTTACTGATCATACATATTGATTGAGCTTTCTCTGGGTTCTGTATTCATCACCCTCATAAGAAAGTACTTAATGAAAAACTTCCTTTTTTGCATCTCAAAGTGTAGATAAAAAAAAATTCTATTGAGAGACTCAGTTGTATCTCCAACAAAACAAAAATTCTAGAGAAATTTGATAGGCATTGCTTTGTCCTAAAAGAAGAGTGTTATTGATTAAATTGCAAAGAAATGGAGAGTACCATACTTGACATTTCTTTCAATTATGCTACACAGTGTATGTTAACACTTTGACTGAATAACAGAAGTCAGCCCTTTTATAAAGAACATCAAAAGTACCATTTTGTACATCTGTGCATTTTTATTTTAAGCCTTTTTTGGACCCAGGAATTCAATAGAAAATGTTTTAAAGTGTTTTATTCTCTCTCTGTATTGATTGGACTTTGCAGCATTTGTTTATTTCAATAAGCCCATCTGTCCCTGAAAAATGTAGAGCTGTACACCAATGTACGCAGTGCAGACATGCCAGGAATTATTTTAGTTATCCCTGTCTTTTTCTCCCTATCCTATTACTAATTCTGAGCAGGTACAATATCAATATTGCTCTTTGGTGAGGAATAAACTCATGCATAAAAGTTCACAAACAGAATCATCTGAAAGACATTAACACTGATTGTGAAACCCAGGAATTCACCTCAGAATGCATCTTCTGTTTACTCAGCTAACTCAAGAATTACAAATTGCAGAAAAACAAGTATTTTACCTGAAGATGTACAAATGAACAAAGGCTAGGAAAACTACTGCTCATTTTGAGAATATTAACCCCCTCCCACTCTCCCATAAAGTTTTGGAATTGTTCCCTGAAGAAACACTACATCAGCTCAGCCAATACTTTTCTCTCAAAATAATCATATGTAATTTTGCTAAATGAAACTGAAAATACAAAACTTTATGTGAAACATACAAATACATTCTTCAGAATAATACTGTAATACTGAAAATGTAATAACTGTGCAAATAGTTTTGATACACTTCCTTGGTATCAGCAGCTACTGTTACACAGATTGGTACATCTGTCATTTTCCAGGTCATTTTATGAAACTAAGGGAGCATACTTCAAAGTCTACTGAGTATATGAAATAGATTTTATTGCAAATAATTATTGGAAAGCTATTTACTACCTGGACTTCAGCTATATGTCTTCTTGTAACATGTTCCTTAAAACTTCCTTGGGGGAAAATTGCTATAGTAATACAACTTTGTTAATCAGGTTCAGTTTATATTTTCCATGTACAGTGGAGGGATGGATGTTTGTTTTAAACACTTAGTATGACTATCTTTGCATACTAGCTTGCTGTTTCGGGCTTAATTGATGATGCTGGAGAATATCTGAATTAACTAAATGTTAATTTTTTCTTCTCTTTTCCTCTTGCTTACTGTGCTTTTGCTTCTTTTTTCTAGATGTTTTTGCTTATTTCTTCTAGTCTGATTTTGCAGTAGTAAACTAAGAAGTGGCAAAAGTTCTCAAGATTAACATTCAGGAAAACAAATAAAATAAAGCCTAAGGAGAGCTAAAGGATGCAAGCTGCTTTCTTTACAAGAAAGAAAAGCAGAGGGATTTCTGGGGTAAAGATGGGGGAAGGTTTAATAAGCACACTTACAAACCTATATAATTAATATACTGCATTTTGAATTTATAATTATCTAATTAATATAATACGTATATGTGCACTCACACATATATGATAAATTAATGTGTCAAAAAACAACTTGATAGCATTATACTTTGAGAAGAAGAAGAGTATGTACAGCATGCATTAGTAAAGTCATTCATTATTTATTCAGGTTCACTAAGTGAAACTACATGCCAGCATATCTGTATTGCCTCCTTAATCTGCTAAAATGATTGATCCATGTTCACTTGTGTAACCGTAGAATCTCTCTCCTGCTAGGTTTTCCTGTTGTCTGTTTCTCTTTATCCAATATAGTGCAGTTCTTATTCTCCCTATATTTAGCGTCTGTTACTAATTTAATCTTTAGATTAATAGTCAATTTATGTTAATCTTCTTTCTTTTTTCCTTGCACTTTTTTATTTTTCTTCTGATGCTTAAAATAGAAGTGGAGCAAAAAGGTAAATAACGTATACAGTCCAAACCCCAGCTCCTTGTTATGTGCCTTATGGATGTTAACCTCTTCCCTTCCCCTCCCCACAACACTCTTATATTATGATAATCAGCAGGATCTCATAAGTACACCTCATAAAGAAGTCGACTGTTTGCAATAAAGTGACTTGGCTGCTTAAAGTAGGTGGCGGGGTATAGTGTCTGAAATACTTGGGCTGGAGGGAAGACTCCCTTGCTTTTTTCTCTCCCTTTCTCTTTGTCTTTCTTTCCCTCTCTTTCTCTCACCCTTGGGTAAATTCTTGTTAATCAAGTGTCATCTTGCCTGGCTTCCAGAACCCTCTCCATAGCATGCCATGGTTACAGGGTTTCCTGGTCTGTTTTCATTCATTGCTTTGGTTGTGTTTTGTTTTCTCTGCTCCTAATTGCTTTCTCTATATACCTGATGATTTGTTTTGTTCCTTTATTTTTAATCGAGGCACCTCCTTTTTCAGCCTCACCACTTCTTAAAGTTCTAAACAAGTCAATGTGATTTTTTTTTTGACTGAAATGACCTAGCGCACTGCTGCACACCAGTTAAAAGCTCTGGAGCGTTAATGCGTACTCACTAAAAGTCTAAGATGAAAATGCAAGAGTAGCTCTACATTTTCAGCTGTCTGTGTATGCCATTGAGCCTTGGTCTGTACTGGTGAAACAGTTCCCATCCACTTTCCATACTGGTACAGCAAGAACATGGTAACTTTAAGAAAAGTGGATGATAAAGGGTGATAATTGCATTAATTATAACATAAGGTATAATCTAGTGCCAATTAAATCAATTTTTTTTCTTCCTGACACAGTCATTATGATTTACCTACTTTTTTTTTTCTTTTTAAAAAATTTTTATTATGACACAGTCTTAATTTGACGTAATTCTTGTCTTACTTCTCTCTATGACTGTTAGTTTTTGTTTGCCCGGGGACGTTGAAAGCAATTGTGGACTCACCGTATTTATATGAAGCTGAACAAAAAGCAGGTGCTTGGTGCAAAGATCCTCTCCAGGCTGCAGATAAAATATACTTCATGCCATGGACTCCGTATCGCACTGATACTTTGATAGAATATGCTTCTTTAGAGGACTTCCAAAACGGACGCCAGCAGACGACATACAAACTCCCAAATCGAGTGGATGGTACTGGATTTGTAGTGTATGATGGTGCTGTCTTTTTTAACAAGGAAAGAACTAGGAACATAGTAAAATTTGACTTGAGGACTAGAATTAAGAGTGGAGAGGCCATAATCAATTATGCTAATTACCATGACACCTCTCCATACCGATGGGGAGGAAAGACTGATATTGACTTGGCAGTTGATGAAAATGGCTTATGGGTAATTTATGCTACAGAGCAAAACAACGGGATGATAGTGATCAGCCAGCTGAACCCGTACACCCTGCGTTTCGAAGCCACCTGGGAAACGACGTACGACAAACGGGCAGCATCCAATGCTTTCATGATATGTGGTGTCCTGTATGTAGTGCGATCGGTGTATCAGGACAATGAGAGCGAGACGGGCAAGAATGCCATTGATTACATCTACAACACCAGGTTAAGCAGAGGCGAGCACGTGGACATTCCTTTCCCCAACCAGTACCAGTACATTGCCGCAGTGGATTACAACCCCAGAGACAACCAGCTGTATGTGTGGAATAACAACTTTATTCTGCGATATTCTTTGGAGTTTGGTCCACCTGATCCTGCCCAAGGTAAGAATTTTTTTTTTCTGATTTTTAATCTCTTTGTACTTCCATTCAGATAACTATGTTACAATATCTTTGGTCTTAGACTTAGCTCTTGGCAGAGAGGCAAGGAGGGGTTGTTTGTGCCATTCTGAGCAGTACAGCATTACAGTGGTGCAAGGTAAATTTGCAGAACCTGTGAAGACATAGAATTACTTTATTCGATTTTCAGGCTTGTGCTTCTTTTTTTTTCTCTTTTTTTCTCTTTTTTTTTAATACAAGTGTATAGCTTTTCTGTGTTGGAGAAAGAGTTGGGGAATTGTTTATTTACTTTATACCATCAGTCAGTTTGTCTTCTATAGCTAAACTAAGTTTGAGTTCATTCAACTAAGTTTGAGTTCATTCACACTGAGCCAGAAACCTGTTCCCATCCACTTGGTGTTACCTGACTTCTGAATTGATTACAACATACATGCAGACCTTTTAACTTCTTGGCGCCAGCAGTTGGAAGCGATGTGTACTGGGAGGTCCCAGAGGAGATGTATGGGGTTAATATGCAATACCAAGCATAAACATTTTTCCACAGCCCTATTTTCATAGTTTCTAATGCTGAATTAGACAAGATTATCCAACATCTTTTTAGCAGGTTTCTCGGTAAGTCCATTACAATTGCAGTTCATCTCACTTGAATTTACAACAGCTACCTAAAAGGAAAGACACTAACTGCCAAAAGAGAAAAGAAAAATGGAGGTCTTTAGGTCTCAGAAATCCCTAAAAATGACATGAACAGGCACAGCCACATACAAACATCTGCAGAGGAGAGTAAATGCCGAGAGAAATGCTCTGTGGCAGAAGATGCATGCAGCAAGGAACAGAATGTTGATAAGCTGCTTTAGCTATGAAGGTAATACTTCTCTCATCTAACTGGTATGCATATTTAGCAGCTGTTTTTTCTACTTCAAAAAAGTAGTGATAATGGCTTCTCCACATGAAAAGTAGCTATCCTGCTTCAGCGAAGCTGGTTCATGCACAGTAGTGCAAGCTACATAGCATGCACACAATTATATCAACATGTATATAGCTTTTCCAGGTATGAAAGTACCTAAGATGCAGCAGAACAAGGCAGTTTAGAACCAATAAGTTAGTGATCTCCAGAGCCAAGCGACGATCTGTCCAGTGTGTTTCCCTCAGACCTCCCTGGCAATGCGCGGCCAGGCTCAGACAGGTTCCAGGTGTTTGAGGACTGAGCTCCAGCTGCGAGAGCAGCAGTCCTGGCAAGCTCTGCTCTCTGTACATCAAGCTAGTCCATTCCTCAGGGAGGCTTTGGGGCTGCTCTTAGCAGAGACATACCCACCTATATAATTAGAAAAATATCAAAGCTTTTATTTTCATACGTTCTCATGCATGTCACTTTTCATTCGGTTTAACCGAGATGAAGATGCATTTTGAATTCTCCAAAGCTGTAATAGGAAGAGGAGAAAATGGAAGTGCAGGTTCTAAGTAGCTTTCACAGTTCAGGCAGCTACCATGAATGTGGCAAAAGCTAATCTTTAAATCATTGCATTGAAGGAAAAGTGTTAAGGAAGAGCAGGGAGAGAAGAAAGGGCTTTGTGGAATCCTGCCTTTACTTTCATAAACCAACAAAGGTCTCCAGTAAGACATTCTGTAATGTTTTTATTATGACAGAGTCTCTAAGATTCTAAGTTACAGTACATGTGCAGGACACATCCCATCTAGTATCAGAAAGAGATTTGGGCATCCATCAGCACCCCTTCACGTTCCTGGGTTCCTTGCTGGCATGCAAGGCAGGGGGAGAAACAGCGTATTCCAACGAGACCTAGACGAGAGGGAGGCCAGGGCACACTTCAGGGTGCTTGCCTCTTGTCTGAGCTCTTTGCCTGTTCACCCATGAAGTCAGAGAAGGAATATATTTTGAGTGATTTATGAGTTTGGGTTTTAAATGCATTATGACATCAGTAAATATATTTTGATTATGGCCTTTTTAAAATACAGAAACTATATGAAGACACTAGGTTTATTTGAATATGTGATGCATATATTCACAAAAGACATTTTTCCTTATATAAAGCCAATACCCAGTATTTTAATTTTCTATGGATCTGTATATAGCAGATCTAAGAATATGTTTCAGTTCATTTCCTCTTTTGCCTAAGCCAATTGCCTGTAGTTAAAGACTACTAAATTAAAGGAAAAATTATCTAATATGATTGTCCTTGAGATGTACTGCTATAAAACCAAGAAGAGATTCTGTACAGTTTCTAACTCTATTTTATTTGTATTATATTCTGAGTTCCTCTTTGTTTCAGCATAAAGTCTGTATAAATTGAAGATCAGTCCTTCCATTGTTACACAGTTAAAGAATCTGTACGTGTAATACACATTTGGATTTTTTAATCTCATATGGAATTAGATCAGATTTTCAGCACATTTGATGAAGGGCAGTTTTGTGTTTCTTTTGTTCTGGTTTGGTTTGGGTTTTTTGTGGTTGACTCAGATTTCTTAATCATCTACTCAAAGACATAGGTGTTAGGATGACATTCTTTAAGTCACCCAACACAAGAACCTTCTTTTAGTGTCTTTTGTAATGGTACTTTAATATCAAGTGTTTAATGGTGTCACAAGGTCCGTGCCTCAAAATTGGAAGTCGTGGCCTTTTCTGTTTCGAACGGTTAACTTGGGACCTTTGTGGGAAACTCAGCAATCAGTGTTTCCTCTGTTGCCGTGGGAGCAATAATGATATATAGATGCACACGGATTCCTTTTTTTTTCCCCATCTATTTGTCTTGACTGTCAGTTCTTATCTACACCATAACTTCCAGCTACCAAGTGCTTCAAAAACAGCAATCTTTCTTCTTACATGAAGGATGGATTTGTCCCATTTGAGCCACACTTCTGAGCTCAAGGGTTTACATTTGCTCCCAGGGCCAAAATCTTGGACTCACCCATGATCCCAGACCTGTCTTTTTTCTCACTGTTGATTTTTTTTTTTTTAAATCTGCCTATGAAACCTCTGAAATACTACTATAATTAACCTAATGTTGACCTTATCCTTGCTGCAAACCTATGCCATTTTCCTCTCTTGCAAGTGTCCATGTTATGTGCTTCCTTTATTTTCTTAATCTTCAGGAGAACTCTTCAGATTTCTAAAACTGCGGATGCTGCAGCCAAGCTACTGTTTTACCCCGGACAATGGGGTCTGCTGCCCTTAGAACTCCCCCCTTAACATCATTCTTCATGTGCTGTTTTTCCTTCTCTCTTCCTGTGGGATTTATAGTACATAGATGTAGAAATGGTTTTCAGAGCTACAGCTGACAAGTACCACTTAGATACTGGAGAAGAGCACATTTTCTAAGGTTAAGTGTAAAAATTACATTTAGAAATCAAACCCTTAACTTAGAAATAAAATAAAATATACCAGGCCCTGCAAAAAGCCACTGAAAAATTTGAAACAAACCAGAATTCTTGTATCCTTGGTAAATTTAGTGGATAGATCCTGTTACATTTTTTCTAAAGGAGGTATCCAAGGGACCAAATGAATCCCTGCTGAAATAGGAATTTTTAAGGGAATTTTAAGTTAAAACATCAGGAAGAATGATGGGAATTTTCCCTCTAAAAAGTGAATATGAACATTACATTGTAAGGTTTCCTTGGTAACAAAAAGAAGATAAATCCTTTTGTTCTGTGTTAGTGCATTAGGGAGAGATTTCATCTACACTCATCCCAATTTGCTCTAACTGTGCAAACTGTTCAAACTGAGGTTGTCTCCCCTTTTGTACTATGATACCCATCATTAAGTTTTATTGGATCACTGCAGGAAAATACGGATGTTGCGAGTGTGGACAGAACAGAAATTCGGAGAGTAGTATCACTGAGGGCTTGAAATAATAGGAAACTAGTGCAACTAAATCTTTATGACACCAAGAATCTATGACGAAGTCATGCAGCAAATTGTTAAGTAAATTAGATCTTTACTATTATATCAAGTCTGATACACTACAGATTGATTAAAGAATGGTTGTACAAGTAAAGACAACATAATGGGGACTAGATAGCACATTTGTTGATCATAGGTATTTTGCTAATTTTGTGGCATATTTGTTATAATTTTCAGGGTATAAATTTATAAATGGTTGTGTAAACATTTCACTTTCAACTAATGGGATTTGGCATGGTCAATAGAGTACTGGCTAGCATAATAGCTGAAACCTATAGGTAATTAGTTGAGTCTTAGTGACTTCCCTGCTATTCACTGAAGCATGAAAACAAGCACACAGCAGTAATAAGCAGAAGGTAGGGAAATCTGGATTTGTACAGGTTTCTGATCTCCATTGCTTTACGCAGCAGCTCAGTGTATGATACCTTTTGAAAATGAAGGCGGGCACGTAGATTTTCACATGTCCGAATACATTGAAATGCCTGACTTACAAGGGCATACATTTAACTGAAAAATCCATGCAGCTGATTTCTAAAATTACCTAGATGCCAGAGATGAAAATGGAACTATTAGTATTTTCAGAAGTGGCGCATCATCCGGGCATTTCAACACAATTTAAAATCTAAGGTCAGTTATATTTTGGGTGAGGATTTTTTTGTTTTGGCTTGGTTTGTTTTTTTAAAAACATATTTTATGCCTGCTTAGAATAGAAACCTGTTGGCAAAGAATGCTAGATAACTTGTGTGCCTTCTCTAAATCTACTCTTCGCTGTCAGTTGGGGAAACGAAGTTACTATTCCCCTGCTGTCCTAGGCAATTGTGTTATGTTTTTTATAGACATCACACTGTTAAACAGGTGTTAAGTTTTACTCCAGTGGTGTGTTCATTTTTAGAAACAGATAGTATGCATAACTGTTTAAATCAGCTGTTAGGAACTGCATGAAACAAATGTAAATTAATTACCCTCAACTTGAGTCTTTGGATTTGCTTCCTTTTGCTCTTTTCTTATTTCTTTTTTTTTAATTTTACAAAGACTGTCTTCAGCTGATAATGAGACACACCTGTTCTTAAAAAAAGGAAGAAGGCAGAAGAGATTTTGGTTTTCTCCTTGACATGTCAACCCTAGTCAAAAAGTCCTAAATAGAATCTCACATTGTGAAAGCAACTTTTTCGGCGTTGGACAAAAAATACGTATTTTTAGCCTTGTAGTGGCTCACCCCTGCTACTTGGAACAGTAGGTTAATAACCTCAACATGGAGTTTGTTCTTATTCTTAGTTGCAGCATATTAATCATCACTGCCATTATGTTACACTGATAAAGTGCTCCGCAAGACAGTGCATGGGAGCCTGCAGATGCCACCACCCTCTGCTTTCAGAACGAGACACATCAGGTGGTGGCAGCTATCATGTGTCTTCTTGCAGCTTAGGAGAATGCCTTGCAGATTAAGTTCCCTAACAGGTCATGAAAAACAAAATGATCTGCCTTCTAAAAGCTGGATGTATTCCTTAAAGTGGTGGGTTCGGTCGTTTCCTATTTTGTCAACGTTCTTCTTTCCCAGACTTCCAGCACTGTCTGAAGTTTCCTGGTACTTTCTTAAATATACTGACTTCTCCTTTCTTTAAATTTTCTTTAAATCTTTAAATTCAAGAGAAAATCTCTTAGAAATTATCTGTATTTTTTTCAGTTTTATAAGAGAGGGTATTTGAAGTCTTTCTCCTAAAATATGAGATTATAAATACATTTCTAAAGTATGTAGTACTACTAAGCTATGCAGGTCATTTTTGAATCAGAGGTGATATGCTTTGAAATTGATTTTAATGAATAGCGTTAAAATTGTTCTACCTAAAGTTGCATAATGACAGCAGGATATTTTATCTCAGTGTGCAGCACAAAATATGTTCTGAAAATTTTTACCTCACTACTGAACTTCAGAGTGTTGGTATGAATTGTTACCATGATGTTTTGCTTCTGAGACGAAGCTATCCTAAACATTATAGGTTTTGAGTAGTAATTACAATAATGCTAATACACATTTCAGTGGTTAAATATGTACTAATTAGCACAATGTGTTAGGGGAAGGATAGTAATAATTGGTTGTCCCTTGCATCATTCTCGGTCCCCACCAGTTCCCTGTTCCCCAGGACCTGATTCAGCAGGCGTTGCCTGACACTTCTGCAAGTGATTGCAAATGCTTTTGACAAATGTTAATTGGGAAAGCACTAGAAGGCTGGATGCCTTGTAATCGAAAGAAAATTACAGCAGTTTCACAAGATGTCAGGCAAGCACTTGCAGAACAGATCTGAGGATTTCAGTAGGTTTCATAGTAGCTGGCTACGCCACGAGTTCAGCACAATTACACAGACTGTATTCAAGCAGCCAAGAATGAGACTGAAGAGAAGACAGCCTCTGAAGAAGTTTCTCATTTGTGAGGAAAAGAGGGATGAAAAGCACATCTTTCAATTTTGTCTTTAAAAACAGATAGTGATGTTCAAAACCCCCACCATAATTTCATACGAAAATAAAAAGATAAATTAATATTTGAGACTCCTAATATATTATAACTGAAATATAAATGAAAAATTATTTTGAAATAATTGTTATCTGCCAAACTACTGAAAGTTAAATCTTTTTCAAAACACCAACGTAAAAAACATCTGCTGAAAGAAAGCAAGGCAGCACTTCTTTTGGTTATTGTTTATGATTTAATTTAGAGAAGATGTGTTGTCCAGTAAGTCAAGAGTTCAAGAGCCTAGCAGAAGAAGACAAAAAGAAAGAAAAAAGCCACTTTATCCACTGAAGTTAATCCTAACATTAGCTTAATTTATTTCTGTATCAGTTAGGATTTAAAAAACACTTCATATGAGCTTACTTATTCTCAGCACAAGGATCTGTGCTTTTACATGCCTATAAAGCACTGTGAACATTAATGAAGATTTGGAAATAGTTAATGATAACTGTTTCAGTTACTTTGCTTACTTGCATTGTTCCAGCTGTTACTCAATATACATTCGAAGGTGATGAACAGGAATTCTGGACTGTTACCTCCACTAGCATTAACTAGTATTATCTCTCCAAAGCCTCAAAACCTTGGCATAGCTCGGGCTGTTCCTCAGCAGCTCCAGTGATGCATTCCCGATGTGGGTCAGTGGAGTGAGCAGCTGCGAGTCCCAGGCAGAAGTGATGTGGTCTAAGCCGATCCTAGTGTTTCAGAAAACATTAAGCTAGGTACTTGCCACTGGCTTGAACGAGTTGTGTCTTCATACCTGCTTTATCAAAAAAGGATGTTAAGGCCTGAAATGTTCAAGCAGAAGAACACCACGTACATGCTAGATGCTGCTTCTGTTTGGAGCTAATCGGGCATGCTGCAGCGCTCTCAAGCAGAATGACTGCCGGGTAGGAAGATGTTATCGTAATTATTTTCCTGGAAGGTGTGTACTGGGTGACTTGAAGTTTTAGGGTCTGTTTTTTTAAAACGGTCTCGTTAGTTACAGCCCACTGCCTTTCTTGTTAAAGCTGGACTGCATTGTTTACGGCACGCTGTTTCAAATGATTCTGTCTATTGAGTTATTCCTTCTGCAAAAATGATTAAGTAATCTTTAATTGCTTTGAGCATGTTTATTGTGTACTAATAACTCACTAGTACTGCCTTTCAGCCTTTAGAAATGTAACTATCAATTTTTATTACGGAAGAGATTATTTGGAGAATGTGCTGAAGCATCATACTGGTATGAGCTGGGAGTTAAAAAGAAGAGTCAAAGTTACATCTTAAGCACTCAGAATAGCAATAAGAAAAGAGTAATATTAAGATAAAGGAAAGGAGACACCAGAAAATCCTTTAAAACTACATAAATAACATTTAAAGAACTTTTTCTTTTATAATTCTGAAGTCATTTACTTTATTATTACTCCAATTTTCTCTGTGCAGTGCCTACCACAGCAGTGACAATAACTTCTTCAGCAGAGCTATACAAAACTACAGTGTCAACCACTAGCACTACATCACAGAAAGGTCCCATAAGCACAACATTAGCTGGAGGAACAAAGGAAGGAAGCAGAGGACCCAAGCCACCGCCACCCATTTCCACAACCAAAATTCCTCCTGTGACAAGTTTTTTCCCTTTGCCAGAGAGATTCTGTGAACCGACTGAGGCCAGGGGGATTAGCTGGCCTCAGACACAAAGAGGAATGATGGTTGAACGCCCTTGCCCCAAAGGAACACGAGGTATTGCCTTTAAAAATGTATCTTGATTTCAAGCAGACATTTCAAAAGCAATGTGCCGCTCTCTCATGGTGATTTTTTTTTTTTAATCTCAAGCTGTCTGTCACACGATTTTTTGTTACTTGGAGAATGCAGTATCTACGAACAATGGTCAAGTTTTAATCTGTGAACGGCATTTCAGCGTAGCTGCAGAATTGCCATGCGCTTTTGAGAATACAGGTCAAATTTTAGGGCTTTGCTTGAGGACTGTTGTGAAATATGCTTATAGCTGCCTTTCTCATTATGAGCTCCCCTTTGGATGAGCTCCAGGAAAAATCAAGGGCTTTTTGTTTGTTTGCAGAAAACGTCTGGTACTTTTCACTGACTTTTTTATTGCTGTTTGTAATCTACATTATTTCCTTACGTTTTTGTCAATTATTGTTAACTACTGCCATTAGCAGCGTTCAGAATTTAACATTGATTAGGAGCAGAGTGTAGCCGATTTCCTGAATGCATGCAGAAAAATTATTTCCATGTCACTGTAGTTTTCTGCATCTGTTGTAGGAACCGCGTCATATCTCTGCGTGGTCTTAACGGGAATGTGGAACCCCAAAGGCCCTGATCTTAGCAACTGCACCTCACACTGGGTAAATCAGCTGGCTCAGAAGGTTGGTTGAAACCTTTTAATGTGGTGTACACTGGTGATTAAAGATTTTAACTCTGAGCATTAATAATTCAGTTTGTTGAAGCTGTCTTTTTTACTGTGTGTTCATTTAAAGTAGGAGTTACGTGTACTTTGTGTGCAAAGCATTGGCCAACAGCTAGGTTCATGTGTGTGTTTTGGTACACTCTCCCTCTGAGTTCTTGTATTGAATCTGTGATTAAGTGTTTTCATTGCTATTTAAAGCAATGTATCTTTTCTGGTGTTCAAAAAACAAAAGCTATATTTGCTTTAATAAATGAAGTATAAATCATGCAGCAAAATCTGGTATACAGTGAGGTTTTTTGGTTCAGGAAATATTATACTGTAATAAAAAGATTTTTATCTGGGCACATTAATAACAGTATGATTAGAGCGCAGAGGCACTTTGTGTTTTCCCTCCCTACTGAGATTTACTAAGTTTATGAAAACTGGGTAATTTGTTGTCAATACCAGGCTACTTGACTTTCAAATGCCTCAAGCAGTAGTATGAACAAATAGATTTCTTAGTGTCTGATAATGGCAGTAAAATAAAAGTGAGGATGAATAGAAGATCTAGCCCAAAAGTCCTAGTCTGATTTCTGGTTTTGATGACTGTTAAGAACTGCTTTTGTGTGTCATGGATCTAAGAACCTTTAATCTTCTGAGATAAAGAGAACGTTACTGGTCTCAATTAGTTGCAGATTTCAATGTACATGCAAATGGTTATTTCACCACAACAAAGGTACATGGGGAATTGGAATTAGGAGCCGCAAGCAGAACAAGGGACCCTGCTGAGATAATATAAATTGTCATTTCAGATCAGAAGTGGAGAAAATGCTGCTAGTCTGGCCAATGAACTGGCTAAACACACCAAAGGACCGGTCTTCGCTGGCGATGTTAGTTCATCAGTGAGGCTGATGGAGCAGCTCGTGGACATTTTGGATGCTCAGCTGCAGGAACTGCGGCCCAGTGAAAAAGACTCTGCTGGAAGGAGTTATAACAAGGTACACATCTCCTGTCACCTCCTCCTGCTGGGATAACAATTGCCCTTGTTTTTTTATTTTTTTCCCTTTCAGAAATATTAATCTATACTTTGTTCCTGCGTGCTTATATTCTGGAATAAACATGTAAAAGAAAACAGCAGTAAATACACAGCAGAAAGTTGCAGTTACCTTCTTTAGGGAATAAGATATAATTCACAATAGCTGACTGGTCCTAAAATACCTAGCTGTGTCCTTTAGTAAAATCTGGAATGTGTTATAACTAGTATGAGGGAAATGGGCATTAGCTCTCAAAAATTCTGTAACAAATCAGCGTGTTTATCCAGTGATCCTTTTAGCCCTGAACGTGTAATAAAATCAGTGGAATTCTGCATAGTTGCAGGGTTTTATTTTAACCTGACTTCCTGCAGAATAGTAGCACTTTCTTAGCCTTTTAAAGACGCCAGCGTCACTTATAATTGATCTTTATAAATATGCCTTAGTACACATACTAAAACAGGCCTAAGTGTTTTCTCCAGAATGGTGTTCAGAGAAATGTTTCAGAGAAAATGTATGTATTTGTGGTTTAAATACAAATCACAAGTATTATTACTATTCCTCTTTTTCTCAGAGGAAATACTGTAATTCTCGACCTCTTCCTTGCGTCAGCTTAGTCAACAAGCTACAGACAAAACATTTTTTCAGCCTCCTTTAGAGAGTGAGCTCCATACGCTCCTCTGTTATTTTGGCAACAGTTTTATTTACAATCCCTGGCTGCCCTTAAAAGAGTTTTCCCAGAGACAGATCAAGTGCCCACACAGGGATTTTCTTCTTTGACCTTTTCACACAAATCCCACCATTTGGGCAAAGATATCTGGGCATCTGTATAAAGTCTGGGGAAAAGCATGCCTGTGTGATGTTTTTTTATAGTCATTGCTGGACAGAAACGAGATTAATGTCCAGGCTATTGTTCAAATTCGGGATTTGAAACATCAGACTAATTTTTTGATATTTCTGAAGCTTTCCAGAATGTGTCTAACTTCTGATTTTCTTTTTTCTTACTAAAAAGCTCCAAAAACGAGAGAAGACATGCAGGGCTTACCTTAAGGTATCTCTCCTGTGCTGTCACCCTGCTTTCTCCCTGCTTCAGCAACCTGCCACGCTTTATCATCTTGCTGCATGATCCTATGTATTTCAGTCTTTGATAAATGTGTATTGTGCCCCATATCAACTGTACAAATGTTGGCTTTGCACAGGTATAACACTCAGAAAAAAAAAATCGAAGATCAAAGTTTATACCTCTTTTACCTCAACTTGTTCAAAACTAAAAGAGCAGAAATAGTTATTATCTGAATTGGAAGTAATATCTCTCTCTCAATACAGCTTTGGGTAGAGGAAAAAGCTGGCAACTTGACAGAAATTACTTCAGCTTGATAGTGTTTTATATCAAAGACTGTTCAGAGTTAATTTGCTTGCATGAAAAATATACATTATATAACCTGCTTTGTTCTCTGTGTATTCTTATGCCTAGTAAAGTCACTCTTTCTTCCAGTTTTAAGAGTTGTTACAAAGGCCAGATTCAGTAACTTCAGGATAAAATGTAAAGACAAGTATTTCTCTAACTTTACTAGTAAAATGTGTGCCACGTGGCCCATTAACCAGGCTATATAGAAGACATGTTACACATTGCTAGCCAATTTTCAGTTTCTTTCATTTGCTGTAGAATGGTTGTCTGTAGTGGCCAGCTCCTGCTCTGCAATACAATGTCAGTAATGCCACCTCGCGCCTGTGAAGAAGAGAAAAAAGACCTAGAACAGATTGTCTCTGGTTCTGAAAAATTTTATTGCACCTTTTTTCAAAGTTTCTTTTAAAATACTGATTTTTACTTGTACCCTCTGAGATAAAATGTAAGAATGACTTTTGAAAAGAACTTTTAACTACTTTGCAACATAATAAAACAATTCAGACTCTTACTGAAGAGACTTTTCTCTGTACAGGGCACTTCTTTTTTTTATCGTGCAGCCCTGGAAGTGGATGGGAGATGTCCAGTTATGCAAAAAAATTGACAAAAAGAGACAAAGATCTGGAGAGAAATTCATTTGTCAAATAATAATAATTGTCATAGGTTTTTATTAGAAAATATTTTTTAATAGTAAAGGGAAATCCAGCAGATATGGTTTGAGTAAACTGCTTTGATACTTCATTTTCAATAGTAAACGTGAACGTAAGAAGAGCAGTAACTGGGCTGCTCCGATAGCTGCGTCACAGGGGCTGCATGGTCTTCCCACCGCCCCCTTGCCTCTGTCTGAGAGGAGAGGAGAACACCTCAGAAATATTACTGTGCAGGTGATCATTTTCCACAGGAAAAAATGCACAGTTAGATTATCCTGTAATAAATAAAAAGTGTTTCATATTAATGAATGCATACTGTCAGCGCTATATGGATATATGCAAGAAACAATAGCACAACCTTGATTTCCAACTGGTGTCATTTTCTGTAGGTCTCAAATGGGCTTCTCTGCTTAGATAAGACTAATAAACCTCTTGAAATTACAAATCAAGAGCTGACTTACACTATGCAAATGAAGCAAGTTCCCACTTTGTGACAGAGGATTCATTTGTACCTCAGATTAGAGGCTCCAATCTGTATTTCTTGGTGACTAATGAATGTGGCCTCTGCAGACCAATTTCTGTTCCACTCTAGTTAATGGCTACAGCAGTATCAGTGTGAGCTTTTGGACTATTCTGTCTCCCATTAGAGAAAGAAAAAAGGCTTTAATGCCACTTCGAAGTATCTTCCACCTGCCAGGAAGGTCGTGGTGGCTCGCAATGCAGACAGAAAGAGGATATTAAAATGGATTAGGCTAATTAATCTTGCTCTGACAATAGCCTTGACCAACTTTTCCTATTCATTTATTTGCACAATATAATATTCCAGACCGACATCTTTCTGTTTGTACAATGTGTTCTGTTTCCATTCCCAATGCTTTTAAATTGATCAAACAAATTATGTATATGCTTAATGACACATTATGACTAGGTAAATGGGACAGAGTAAACAGGGTGTTTTCAGCAATGCATGGCATACTCAATGCACAGCATACCCAATGCACAGCTACATTATGCATTAATGTAAGAGCCTGCCTTCAATTGATTAACTGATTACTCTGATTGATTGGATTATTTTGTAAAAATAATGTAATCATGTCACTGAATTCTTCTTCTTCCTTATTTACTGTTACTTTATATGCAGCTTAATGAACCTTAAAACATGATGATAGAGTTGTTACGAGAAAGACTTTTTAAAATGGCAGCTTTATTCGGTTTTACAGTTTTGCCTTCACTGATAAGAGGGACAGTCAGTGGACATCTTGTTTGCTCTATTGATTTCCTTTTTTAACTGACCTTTGTGCAGGAATGGGAGTTAGTAATCTTTTTAAGTATCTATGAACAGGAACAGGAGGGGGAGTGAGAGTGGCACGGACTAATTTATATCCACCGAGTCAGCTTCATTCCATGCTTCCTGTAATAAAGAGGGCAGTTTGTCATAGACAAGTAGTTTATAGTGCTATGGCTGCATGAGTTGGACTAAGTTTCCAGAATAGTATTTTTGTCATTTTAACCTAAACTGCAGAATGCCAATTTTGGTGTTAATATTTTTAAATAGTAGTTATACATTTTGACATTAACTTCAGGATGAAAGCTACAGGCAAAACTTCTGGCATTTATTTCTACGTTTTTCAGCGCATTAATAAGATGGTCTTTATATCTGACACAAGACAAGTCAAATCTGCATGTTTACCACTTAGAGACCACACAATGCTAGTGGCTAACTGCACTTCTATTAATGCTAATCCAGCGAGAGGATGGAAAATATTTTTATGTTGAAAATAGTTTTCTAGTGCCATTTAATCACAGTAAATCATTCTGACAGTTAAGTATTATAATTGTCACCAGATAACATTGGAAATTTTCCCCAGCAGCCTAGGGCAATCAGACCTAATAATAATTTTCTAATGAATGCAGGCAATTGTGGATACAGTGGACAACCTGCTCAGACCTGAAGCTCTGGAGTCCTGGAAGGACATGAATTCTTCAGAACAAGCCCATGCAGCCACAATGCTACTTGATACATTAGAAGAAGGGGCTTTTGTCTTGGCTGACAATCTCTTAGAACCAACTAGAGTCTCAATGCCCACAGAAAATATCGGTAAGTAAATTTCTTTTCAAGCATAATTTAAAATGCTGTGCATTGCTTTAGGCAAAATCAGCAAAATATATGCTAGATAGCGACATACTCTTTGAAAGCTGAGCTGCGCAACATTTGGTGGAAAGGTAAATGCTCCTAAGTGGGGGAGACATGCTTTTCTTGTTTAGTTCTTCAAAATTAGCATTCTTCTTTAGTGTCATTAGTACAGTGTAAAATGGAAAGTAGTTGATGTTGCAGAGTTGATTTACCACTGAAAAATCGTTAGCAGGACGTATGGATAGGAAGAGTGCTTAAATGCAGAGTATGGATTTTTTTGAGGTAACTGCTTTCTATAGAGCTGCAGAAATGCTTTCCTGTTATATATAAACTGTTCCTAATGAATTTAAATTACTTTTTTGCAACATACTCTGCCAGTTAAATATTTTAGGCACTCAGAACATAGGCCAAATGTTTATATTAAACATGACTGCCTTCAGGTAAAAATGTGTTCAGTGAACTACATCTCCCATAATGCAGAATAGCTATGCTCCAGAGACTGCAAAATAGCTGAAGATAGTTGGAGCATAATTTGGAATTTAAGTGATGACAGAGAAATGAAGGGGTTTGGTCTTAGAGATGTGCAAATATTGGTACGCAGGATGTATTAAAGCAAAAATCATTGCTATGCATAAAATTAGAATTCTTTCATCTTATTACAGAGATTAATGTAGTCTCAGTGAGGTACAAGGAAGCTGAAACCCTACTAATTTGAGGGGTACTGACATGGAGACTTGGAATAGATTGCAGAAGTGAGACTTTTCACATTTCAATGTCTGCATATTTGTAACTGTAGAAGATGATTCTGCCTTTTTAATTTGAGTAGGAAGATACAGGGAAAGGATGGGGTGTTACAGTCGGTTATCAAAGTAACTGCACCAGTTGTTCCTGAAGAAATGTGGGTTGAATCACAGAAAATCTCTCTCAGGATATACATAAGCAGTTCCGTGGTGCTCAGCAGACTGACTGAACATCACTTCTTGTGATAAACTGTCTTCAAGTCATAGTTAATAACACATTTCTGATGCCATGCAAGACTGACTTCCCAGCACACATACATATGTGTGGCTTAGAGAAAGAGAAATCGTTCCCTGATGTCATACCATTCATCAGTCTATAGTTTAGACCTATAGTTAGACCAGTTTAATACAATGCAGATATTTGTCAACAAATTGACTACTCTGACCTATATGATTTTACATATCCAAGGGAATCCAACCTTCTATGGTAATCTCATGAAAGCTTCTGAATATACAGAGTCTTACAAAATTGAAACTTAAGTAAGGGTGAGTGACATCTAAGTTGTCGATTTAAATATTTTTTTAGCAGAACCAATAAAATAGTTTCCTATAAAACTTCATACAGAGTTAGAGTTAGGAAAAAGAAATTTTTTTTAGACACGAGTACTGATTTAGTTAAATACACAGCATAAGTATGCTTATGTATTCATTTGCTGCCTATTTAAAAAACTCTTTATACCTAAATCAGTACTTAAAGTTCTAAATCTGTTAGCAGAGGATGCTGCACAGACATTAGGAGCTTCAAAATTAACATGTGTGTGGCATTTTTAAGTAGATGTTTTGGGGGCACAAATTAAAACAAGGTTTGATGTCATGTTATCACTATTAAAAAGCTGTCATTTTAGTAGTGGACACTACGCTTAGTCAAAGAAACTAACTCTGCGTGCTCAAAATACGCAGTACAGATCTGTCTTATGGTGGCAAATGAGGACAGCAGTGTGAGAAAACTAAATAAAGAGTGAGAGGAAATATTGTCGTCTGGCATATTGCAATGTGGCCAAGAGACTTTCTCTGCATTCTCTTTTTTTACCCTTTCCCCCCCCCCCCCCCCGCTCTGTTTCTTTTTTTTTGTTTTTTTCCCCCTTCCCCCCCCCCCCCTCTGGTCTGCTTAGTTTTGGATGTTGCAGTGCTCATTACTGAGGGCCAGGTGCAGGACTTGAAATTTCCTCAGGGCAGTAAAGGAGGCAACTCGATTCAGCTCTCTGCAAGCACCGTGAAACAGAACAGCAGGAACGGTGAGTCTTGGGCACGGAGTGCTGAAACTCCATTAACTTTTGTAAAACCTACATTACCTCCCCTAGTTAAAATATCAAAACAAAACACAACAAAACTGCTCTGTGGCTTTTTTTTGAAGATCGTGGGTACCTGGGAATTTTTCTTCAAAATCATAGCCTGAAAATGCCTCTTTGTTTACTGATGCTTTATTGTCAGTTCATTAGAGTACAGGTTGCTGTCTTTCTGTGGACCTCTGTGGCATGATGATGGGATTTTTTTCTTTTGTAGGATTAGCAAAACTGGTTTTCATCATTTACAAAAGTTTGGGGCGTTTTCTCAGTACTGAAAATGCAACCATAAAGCTAGGCAGCGACTTTGCTGGGCGGAATAGCACCATTGCAGTCAACTCCCATGTCATAGCAGCCTCTATCAACAAGGAGTCTAGCCGAGTGTACCTGACTGATCCTGTGCATTTTACGCTGGAACACATTGATGTGAGTTATGCTAACGAATTAATGGGAAGGTCATAAAATCAGCAAGAGAGAAAAGCAATGCAGAAAAATAACCCTTTTTCCATTTGAATTTTAAATGTTGGACTAGGTCAGAGACACAAGCTTAGTTAAGTCTATGAACATAAAATTAAATGAGCCTGGTTCAGTGATTATTCGAACTTAAGTGTATTCTTAATGAAAGCTAATTCAGTAATCAACATGAAAATGTAAATGACTAATTTGTTTCTAACTGAAAATTAACTCTTACCTTAGTAGCAGGGTAGAAAATAACTGTTAAGATTCTTGATGGTCTGATGTAGCAAGTTTTAATCACATTTTAACTTTTTACGTTAATTTTGGACTAAGTTCTACAAGGCTATACAGATTGTTTAAGTGCGTTTATTCAGTGAAAAATGAAGTATTATATCTTGGTTTGTTATACTTGTGTATATTTTCTTCATGGTAATTTATTTGAAGTATTTCTTTGCTCATTAGTTTGGTCTTTTCTGTTTTCATGTCTCACATGGGGAAAGTAAATAATCACTACCATGATAGAGAAAATATAGTTGGATTTTCTTCTCATTTTGCCCCTTTTTATAAAACTGGTTTGATTGTTTTTCATCAAAGCAGATAGGCATTGAGGAATTAACTTTTTCCTGATGTCTTTTCGCATGATTTTGGCCTGACCGAAGGTGAGAATCAAAGGAAAAATACCATATTTTCAAATTCTCAATTACAGAAAAAGTATCTTCAGAATAAATTCACAGTCCTAATTTTGCAGAAAGCAGAAATGGCTATAATGTACCATCAGTGCATAAAATCGTAAGATGGAAATTGTAATTGTTTAAAATTGGGTCTACAGTAATTGAGGCTACACTTTAGAGTGTTTCGGACTATAAAGTCCCTTTTAAACTAGATGTCTTCCTTGTATAACATAGTCCACAATTTTACTGATGAAAAACTTTATTGTCCGAAACGTGCAAAGTTTAATCTAAATTACCCTTTACATATATTAAACAATTGTTATTGCCATCTTAGTGTCTAAAATCCTCATTTTATGTTATCCTTTTATCTCCCAGCCTGACAATTATTTCAATGCAAATTGTTCCTTCTGGAACTACTCAGAGAGGACTATGATGGGATACTGGTCAACTCAAGGCTGCAAACTGGTTGACACAAATAAAACTCATACAACGTGTGCTTGCAGTCACCTAACCAACTTTGCAATTCTTATGGCTCATCGGGAAATTGTGGTAGGTAATGATGTTTCTAACCATCGGCAGGGAGCAAACTTCTAAAGATTTAGCTTTAAATTTTTAGCAAGATCCAAAATTGCTGAAGTTTCTTAAGTATTTATAGCTTCTACCCACT